AGCAGACGCTGTGTCTCTGGAACTGTTGGCTTGATTTCCGTCACTGTGGATATTAATGTCCACAACAATTTAGCTAATTTCAAACATATCAGAACGTTTCTGTCTGTGGATGTAACCACGATATTTACGCATGGCATGATCCATATTGAAATACATGTTCTGGGCAGGCTGGTGAAACAACCGGCCAATGGAATCCTCATACAAACTCTCTAAACATTGGACAAAAAGCCATTGGATTGTCATCACCGCAGGGTACTGGAGGAATACAATTTACTGAGCTTTGGGAACTATAGACTTATTTTAAACTTCTGCATGGTCTATAACATTGTAAATGGTTTGGCCCCGCCTCCACCACGTGGCTTTGTGTTTATGTAGCATGTAGCTGAAAGTGAGACTCCCTCTCTTTGCAATGGAAGTCATTGCTTCTCCTTGCAGGCAAAGATGTTTTAGGCTTAAAACTCAAATGTACTAATATTACCAAAATTCTATGGATTAGCAAGGAAAGCAGAGCTCCTTCAAGAAAAAAAAAGAAGAAAGAAAAAGTCTCTTTTCTATGTCATGTTCACCGCACAGGCAAAGTTCTTTAGACACCACAAAAGAGTGTTGCAAAGCATCCAGTCAGGCAGAGCTTGAAGAAGAGAAAAGTATCTATTTAGTATACAAAGCAGCCAGATATTACAGGCCACCGTTTGCTAGTATTTCATGTCACCATTTAAACCATACATGTGTCTGAAACTATGCCGTGAACATTTTAGCTTTTTGTCTCCTTAGCATCATAATCTCTCACATACGGATGGTTGGAATGCAGACCAATAAAATACTGTGTCTGTGGAGGAAATATTTAGATAACTGGATAGATCCGTCAACAGTGAGTGGGCATCTTCCTTCCGCCGGACCCCAGTTGTCTCTGTCTGCGCCTTTAATGTGGTGGTGGACACAAAGTCTCTATCCCGTCTGTTTGCTGCTTTTGTAGTGAAGTAGTGAATGCGGCCTGAAGGAAGTCTGTGCCTCGCTCTCCTCATCTCTCCTGTCCTCAGAAGTGATGCCAGGTCACTGAAGGGAAAGGAGTGTGCACGGCTTCACACCAGCTGTGAAAGCTCAAAGCAACTCCCAGTCCAGGTTTCTGCAGCTCGCCCACTCTTTTGATTTCTTTGAGCCCACACTTTCCTCTTTGCCTTTGCTCTCTCTAATGATCTTCATGTCACCCCATCAATCTACCAGAACCTATATGTCATTTATTTTGTGGAAATCCTGCTAGTACAGGATTAATTGATCGTGGAGCGTTTCCACTTTTGGAGAAAAAAGGCAAATGATTGGGCTTGATCTTGTGAATCTGAGATCAGATTGACAGAAATTGGGACATTACTAAAGTTTAAGATACCTTATCCTTCATCTAAGAGATGTCAACTGAAATCTCTCAATTCAGTGGAGCTTTCCTAACGTCTATGCAGTAAGTCTCGCAAATCTCCCGGTGGATACAGAGACACTCTGTAGTCAGAGTGCAGAATGAGTGTTTGTAGGTTGGTGTCTTTGCTTATGCGGCAGAGGAGGAGTGCATGCGAAGTTTGATTGATGTGTGGGATAATTTCCTAGTTGGCAAACATTGACATGCTCACCGCGTCATGTCTGGCCTATTTGGATTGGCAGAGGTTTAGTGCTGATTGGCTGGTCTCACTAAGGACTACGTAAGACAGATTTGTTTGACTGGGAAATATAAAATACGAGGAGCTTGATTAAAAACCACATTGCCTCCATTTCACCCCGTGTTGGCCTCATTGGTTTTGACTCTACATAATTCATTTGCATGCAGTTTTTTGAACAAGATCTTTCCCTTTCTGTTTTGCGTGCCCTGCACAATGAAGATTTATAGAGACATAGTAGTTTGGGCAAGCTAACATGTGTGCTTTCGCCTTTTTCACAAAGATATAAGAACAAAAAATAGAAAGCCAGTTTCTGACTTTCTAATTGGCCATTTATGAAATACAACTCTAAAAATAGAAAGCACCTAAATCTTAGGCTTGTTCTTTTCCAGGCCTGGCTCTCTCTCTCTGACCACAGTGGGCCAGAACACTTTGGAGCATCCAAAAGAATCAGGATCATTATTCCATCTGAACATATTCAACATAAACATATAAAGGCATGTTCTCTCCTGTGAATTCTGTTCTCATGATTGGACAGTCAGTCAGAAAGTCTTCTGTAGAAGGCTCCTGGAATCTGATGGAAGAACCACGAGTGCCCAAGAAGGCTTTAGATTCGTTGCCTTTCCCCTGCTGATAAGGCAGCTCCCATCATGCCTCACTCACACACACATAGTGCAGAGAGAATACTGCTGGCTGCTGCTGATGATCTAAGATCACTCCTGCTTTTGAAATTGTAATGGAATAGAAATGGAGACTAGAAAGCGTAATAAAGTCAGTGGGAAATACAAAAAGAGAGGCGGCTAGTTTCAACATGGAGACAACAAAGTGCTGGGAGAATCATGACTGGCCCATCTTAAACTACGCTGTTGGTTATAGCAATTGTTTTCCTCAAATGGCAAGTATGCAGATGTGAAGGAGGCAATAGTCATAATGTACGCATGACTATATATGTTTCTCAAAAGACTTACGTTAAAAAAAAACAATTTCGAAAAGAAAAGGGGGATGATGGATGACTTCTGCTGAACTGCCGCATAATGCAATATCCCAAGCAACTTCCTTCCTTTATTGCAGATTATGTGAGAATCTTAGTTTATCTTTAGAGATTTATACTGGCTTTGTTGCGGATTTATCTTAATGTTCTACGCCAGCGGCCACATTTTGTTATCCTCATCTCTTCATGTTTCATGCTTTGGTTTTTGCCTAATTGTCCTGCTCATTTTTTAAGTTGCATAAGGCCTTATATTTCCTTTAATATGTGTGGCTGACAAATTATGATCTCCTTGACAAAGAAGTTTGCATTCCAGCAAGATGACAGTGATAGGCTGCTATTAACTCAGAAATGAGAGTGGAATTGAAATTGTCTCTGCAAATTCCAAAATAGACTGATCACTCCAGGCATTCGATTTACAGTGGTTAGGATTTATGCAAATGTGAGGGTTTTATTACCTTACAGTAACCCTCCCCCCCAAAAGAAAAAAAGCATACACTTAACTCGTGGAACATATCCTCCAAATATCCTCAGCACTTTGTGCAGTACTGGAGCACATTCATTTCATGGCGTACCCATCACTCTATCCCCCGTCTCTTTGCTCACTGTAATTTTAAACTTTTTAACCCTCACTAGTAATGTAATTGCGTGTTACGTTTGAACACGGCAGTACGTTTTACTGTGGGTCCTCATGGTTTCATAGAGTTCAAAAGAAGTCCGACTCCAACCCCACCAAAAGAAACTTTCGTTTTCTCCATCTTCTTTTTTTTGTTTTTTTTGAAAATCCTTTTTTTTATTCCCTTTTCCAGGTTTTGTATCATAAATATAAAATGAGGCTTGTTACACTGGATTTTCTTTAAATGCATGTGGGTACACTTAATGTTTTATGGGTGGTTGTGGCTTGAATGGAAACCAACATGTAGTTGTACACCGAATGCCTGCCACGCGGGTCAGTCACAATGGGGGGAAATATACCCCTACCGATCTGATTGGAAATATTTGCTGCATATAAGAATTAGGTATTATTGGAATACTCTACCCTTTCCCTCCAGCTGACACTCATCACACAACTGTGAAAGTAAACAAAGATATGAAGCTGCGGGTTTGTTATAAATGTCACCCAGCGAAATGATAAAATATCACAGTAAGACGCAACCTCTGCACGTTAGAAGTTTGAGTGGCTTTTTTTGTATTGCTCTTGGTTTCCCCTTTCCTCATGCGGTTTATTATTCTTCTCTTTGGCTTGCATCTCTGCCAGCTTTACAACTCCTTCACTCCTACACACTACTCACCCTCTGTTAGGAGTTACAGTCGAGAGTGTGCAGCATGCTCTCTGCCGAGTTCCCCCGTCTGCCATCTGCTCAGGAAAGAGGCGTAGCAGCCGAGCCCTCATCGACTTGAATTAATGATTTCCATCTATTCGTACTCATGCCGATGTCATCTTTAAAAAAAAAAGTCAGCTCTTGATGATAAGCAAGGCTCGCCTTATTTTTCTTGGCCACGTTCCTGATAACTACTCTGTCTTATGGAGAGGAGGCTCCCTCCCGCTATGTTTCGGAGCACCAGAGCATGAACTGAGTTGTTTCTTCTTTTCTTTCTTACAATTAATGTTTTCCTTAAAAGATCCATTTAGAAAAGATAGAAGGAAGGAGAATTCTAATCAACCTGTGATGTTCAGCCCGACTGTAATCTCTGTCAAACTGCAATCCAACGCCAACACTTGCAAACAATTATACTGCTGGTACCCAGGGGCCCGATCTGAATGGTGTATTTGCTCTTGCGCTGCCTTGGGAGATTGTGTGGTAATTTAGTCAGCTCCCTGGCTGATGGCTTGTGAGCTGCTTTTACAGCCGCAGCCCTCTGTAGATCTGCGGCATTATTAAAACCAGACCGCAAGTGGGATATTACATCGTGGTCTAATGCACCGAAGCGTACTGTGTGGTATCCCATTGTTCCGCAGCCGCCTCTGTCACTGTCCTTTTGCAGACAGACGCCAGTCCCGAAGCAGGCAATTTTCCTTGCTGGCGGCCCGCCAGGAGCCTGTTGAAGTCATCCTCCTCCCCGCCACCCTATTTTATTCTCGGAGCCCCTTTTTGACAAGGGCCTTTGGCTCGTGCTGAGTTCGAGATAAACAACAAAGTCCAGGCCCATGGATGCTTTCAGAAGGCACCTGGCGCTCTTGTTTCAGTTTGTTGATTGCATCACACTTACGTCCCTCTGATGATATATTCAGATTTGATCTGCTGCAGCGTTAGAGGGGCATTATTAATCAGTGTGGAAACTGCTGAGTTTATACAGTAGGATATTTCCCTCCCAACTTAATAAATCCAAATTGGAATGTGTAACTAACAGCATGTTTTTCCTCTCTGTAGGTGACTGCGACAGATGCAGACGGCGGCTCCTTTGGCTCCATCACCTACTCGCTTGGCTCTGGCGTTAGCAGCGTGGTTCCGTCTCAGTTCACCATTGGCAAGGAGACTGGCCAGATCTGCACCAGCGCTTCACTAGACAGAGATCAAGGGCCAGTCAGCTTCGACTTCGCTGTAACTGCAGTGGACGGGGTGAGCCGCCGCATTTTGACATTATGCTTAATATGACTCTGTTAAGCCACAGAGTAATCCTATAAACACAGCAGCCTTGCTTTGCGTACAGTAGGGCGAGCAGAGACATGGCCAACTGTGCAGAAAAACTTTTTGATTTGAGCTGCCAAGTAAAAATCTTGAATGGCTCTCCCTGGCAGGCTTAATCAAAAGAGTATTTCCTGTTCACTTGCCAAATAGTACTTAACAAATAAAAGGTTTAAAATGAAAGAAAATTATTGCAGCCATGTTAAAGCAATCAGAAGGAGAAATGCCCCAAACTGTCAAGGCAATAAGATTTTAACAAGTCGGAGTGCCGCCTCCCTCGTTTTTTGCCACCTGGTCCAAATGAAAAGCCTGCACTGTATTTTCTACAAATGAAAAGCCTATGAAACAGATTGTTCTGTTGCAGCGGGCCCTCTCACCCTCCATGGGTCATGACATATTGCTCTTCAATCTATCAATCTGTATCCCTGCACAACCCTGCAGGGACTATATTTCACATTGAAATTTCAACAGGTTTCGCTGCTTTTTTTTTTTTTTTACTTTTACTGACTTTCGATGTTAATGTGGCCTAAATCCTGCTTTCAGGTGTGTTATTCCTGTCCATGATTTAATGTATGTGAAGAAATAACAAAAGAGCTTTTTGTTTCCTCCACAGGGCGGACTGAGCTCAGTAGCCTATGTAAAGGTAGACCTGGCCGACATTAACGATAACAGACCCGCCTTCTACCCAGTCAGCTACGCTGTCAGTTTGAGCACGCAGAGCGCTCCTGGGACGTCTGTCGTCAGAGTGACCGCCTATGACCCGGACTCGGGCGAAAATGGCAGAATTACATACAAAACAGTACCTGGAGGGGGCTCCCCTTACTTTACTCTCAACAAAGAAACAGGTAAGCACAAGTCAGTTCCTTCCAGCATATTGAATTTTTGTTTACATTTTTAGCTACTTAAGAGGTTGAATGATTTTGTCTGAACATGTCATGGTTTTTATATGTTTGTCTCAACCTGAGTCACTCACTTTTGTAGGAGTGATCTCCCTGTCTCGGTCTGTCTACGGGAAGGCCAACTCTGTCATCCCCATGGAAATCTCTGCGCAGGACGGTGGCGGCCTGGTTGCCCTCGTTAGTGCCAGGGTCAACATTAGCGTGGTGGCGGGGCTGGTGGCCCCACCTGTGTTTGAACAGACTCAGTACCACTTTTCTGTATCAGAGGACGTCTTGCGGGGGACAGCCGTAGGCGTCGTCCAGGCTAGCACTAAGACAGGTGGGGACAACAAACACATGCCCTTTATTCTTCTTTGTCACTCTGACCAGCCGACATATTGACTCACTCACAGACACCCATTTTTTGAGTTCCACAGCCCGGACTGAAAAGTTCAGAATACATTCATCAGTAACACTGCATTAAGCTTGAGTACGAGTTTCTTTACTGCTTCCCGTACCACTTGTAGAAACAGGCGCTGGGCCACTATATACACTCTGAAATGGCATAAATCAAAAATACCATTTCACAACTGTGTTTTTACATTCATTTTCTGCGTATTTAGCGGTCTATTACAGTCATGAAAACTGAAAAATAACATCTTTAGAATATACAGTTACTTCAGTGCTTTTAGTGCAGCCTCCAGGGTCATGAGGACTTGTCTCTGGTTTTCATCATCTTTTTCCCCCTTTGCAGGCACCTCTCGAGATATCTCCTACACCATCAGTTCTGGCGACCCAGGGGGCTACTTCACCGTGGACCCTGACACTGGGGCCATAAGGACCAGTGTGCCACTGGATCACGAAGACCAGTCAGCTCTTGATTTGGAGGTGCAGGCCCGCAGTGGCAACCCCCCTGCGTTTGGCCACACGCGTGTCCACATTGACATCGCAGACACCAACGATAACCCGCCGGTTTTCCTGCCCTCGTCCTCCGAGTCCCTGCTGCTGCCGGAACATACAGAAATGGGCACGGTGGTGTATCGTGTCCAAGCTGAGGACAGAGACTCTGGGGTTAATGGGCAACTCACCTTTGACCTCTCTTCTCCAAGTGGAATCCAGAGGACCTTTAGCATAGAGCGCAGCAATGGAGAGATCCGATTGGTGGGGAGCCTCAACTATGAGATTGCTCCCCGCTATGACCTACAGGTGATCGCCAAGGATGGTGGAGTGCCACAACTTAGCGCCACCTTTGTGCTGGTGGTTCATGTCCAGGCCGAGAATGATCAGGGACCTGTATTCGACACCCTCACCTACCGCGTAGAGCTAAAAGAAGGGACTCCGATAAACACGCGTTTCCTGCAGGTCAGGGCTCTGAACAGAGAAACCTCAGGCTCCGGTTACCTCAGTCCCTTAGCATACCGCCTTCGTCCAGATGGAGATGCTGCAGGCTTTGGCATTGCTGCAGACAGTGGCTGGCTGTTTGTGAAGAATTCCCTAGACAGAGAAGTCAAGGACATGTATCTCATAACAGTGCTGGCCAGCCAAGGTTATGGACAGTTGAAGAAGACGGGTAGTGCCACAGTGCGGATATCGGTGACTGATGAGAATGACAACTCTCCTCGGCTGACACAGGAGAGGGTCTTCATGGCCGCGAGAGAAAACCTGCCCGCGGGAACAGGTTTTGGTCATGTGACGGCGTCAGACCGGGACAGTGGCCCTAACGGACGCCTCAGCTACCAATTCCTGCACCCTGATCGCCACTTCCAGATTAACTCCCACACAGGTTAATTGAAAATGTGATATACTAATTGCTAAATTAAGGGTTTTAAATGTTGGTCAAAGAGAGAGATGCTTGAAGAACACAGCAGGCATCAATGGAAAAATTGTTGCTGAACGATGATTACCTTCTAGATTCAATTTTAGGCAGTGTACCCCAAAGCTGTTGCTCATTTTATTTCCCCTGCAGATTTAGCCAAAAATAACCGAGGAAGTCGGTGGATCTCAAATGTCCTCCATCAACATCCTGTCGTGACTCCGCAAGAATTACTTTGAGTCATTGAAAATATGAATGATTTGTGTAAAAGCTTATTTCATCTTTATTTATTTCTAAAAGATACGAGGCTGTAGTTGCCTCTTCTCCGCCGTTGTAAATTAGTCAGATGACGGTGACAGTACCACTGAGCATCTTAATGGGCTCAAATTGGCCTGCTGAGCCTGTTAGTGTGTGGGCGTAGACTCTGAGTCTGATTAGTAACTACTTTCTGGCGTGAGTTATAACTCACGACAGCGTCTGCCAGCCTTCAGCTTTGTGTCTGGGCACATGTGGACGTACAGCTGCACATTGTGCATTGATCAGAGCCTGCTGGCTCTTAAGTCTCATCATTATTCCAGTGCTCTGGCCTGGTGCCTCGGCATGAAATCCCTCTCATCCACCTCCTTCTTCCACCCCCCAGGTGAGATCAGTACAAGGACTACTCTGGACAGAGAGCAGCAGTCGAGCTACCAGCTGGTGATGGTGGTTCAAGACGGAGGTTCACCCCCTCGCAGCGCCACAGGCACGGCATTCATCACCGTCCTGGACGATAACGACAATGACCCTGCTTTCATCCACAGCCAAGCGGGCAAACATCTCATCATACAGGTGATGCCGCGACACTTCAAGCGCAGACAGGCGAAACATTCATTTTCTTTTATGTCCTTGTTGACAGTTGTTTGTGTTTTAACTCATAGGTGACAGAAGGTCAGTCGTCCGGGGTTTTACTGGGAACGCTACAGGCCAAAGATCCCGATGAAGGGGAGAATGGAACTGTATTCTACGCTTTGTCAGGTAGTAAAGAGAGTACTCACACCTGCAAGAGATGCAATATATGCATGCAAATGCTGTACATGTTTATGTTTTAAGAAAGTGCTCGTACTCAGTGAGGAGGTAACGGAATAATGCATGTCAGGACACTGTTAAGGTCTATCTGTATTGTAGGATATTTAAATAGATACAATGGATTGGTTGGTGTCATTGTGTGTAAATACTGTAAACATATTGTAAAATGTTTTAATTCACTTCAGTGACGTGACACAAAGGGCGTTTCGCTCCAACATGGTCCCCAGTTTAAGTTGGGACTGTCTCTCTCCCAGGTCCCAGAGCCGAGCGTTTTTCTTTGAACCCCAACACTGGGGAGCTGCGTTCAGCGTCCCCTCTGAGCCACTCCGAGCGGGCCGAGTACACCCTGACGGTGACAGCTACTGACAGAGGACCTTCCCCTCGCAGCACCTCCTGCCCCGTCACCATTCAGGTCAGACTTTACTTGGAGTGCGGCCAGCACAAACACTCTCACTACTCACCTATTTAATATCAAAGAATAGACTCGAGGGCTGAGAGGATTTATCTCTTTGGGCCCCTCGGAGCAGTGGCAGACACGTCAGCCTCACTTCTGACAACCATCCCTCCCATCCCATTCCTTTTTCTTCCCCAGTGACTTTTCAAAAGGGAAATTTCTATCTGAAATGGAAAAGTGGGTCTGAATCAAATGCTCCCAGCTGGCTTGTGATGAGAGCCAGCTGTAGACGGCTCTGATGAGGTCTTACTCAATGACTTTTTAAATACAGTAGCCATTTTTACAATGAGCAGCACAGATCTAAACTCACGTAAAACACAGCATTGATAGTAATTCAGTTCATATTTAATATAGAAAAGAAAAGGCACACAATGGAAGAAGCCTTGGAGGTACATTGATTTACAGGTTCCAGGAAGTCGCCCTATAAACAGCTCCATTAAGGGGTGCTTCAGGTTTTCCTCCCATCCAACACAAAATAATGAAACTCAGAATTATTCGTTAATTGGATTATACAGGAGTGTTTTTCTTTCCTGCTGACGCATTTCTGTAATTTCCTTCGTCTCTTCAGACATACGTTTTAAAATTACGTCAATGATCGGATGGAGCAATAGCCATACTAACACTCCATTTCCATCTAATATGGAAACAATTTACTGCTTGTCGTGTAAGATTTCACAACAAACACAGCATATTTTTTTGCTTGCCAACTCACTGTGGGAAGTGTTCTGTAGGCTCTCGATTACGCCTTCAGCTTGGAATGTGTCATGTTTGATACTAATGGTGTTCTTTTCATACAACGCGGAGAAGTAATAATGTTCAAAGGGAGCGTAAAGCTATAGATAGTATGAGTGCTAGATTCAAACCCTCTTACCATTTCCTGCTCTTGATTGCGTTGCTTTTATCATCTATTATTTTTCCTGCCAGCGAGTATAAGATTAAGTGTGATTAAGGTTAGCTGTTAGACTTGTCTATAAAGCCCATTGTAACGGGTTTAATTTGTTCCCAGTGAATACATGTACAAGTACAAGCGAGGACACAATTTCTATTTGCTTTGCCCCAAAACCACTAAATCTTACTTTGAATGGACTTTAATAAACTCAAGTTACCACAAAGCATCCAAGTGGCACACACAATGTACTGCTATTTAGCTCTGTCCCTCAAATAATCTTCTATTGTTCTTTTTCAATACAGGTTCTCAGCATTAACAGACCAACTTCTCAGACCAATTCATTTTCCATGTCCTTCAACTCTGTCGAGGAGGCCAAACCTGGATCTGTTATTGGCTCAGTCCAGATTCCCGATAGAGAAGAAACCCCTGAAGAAGGGGAGGTGACCTACACGGTGGTAGGGGGTACGGACCGAGATGGGACCTTTGTTGTGGACCGTATGACCGGAAACGTGTACCTAGCTCGTCCTCTTGACTATGAGCGAGACGCGCGTTACTCCCTGGAGATTGAGGTGGATAACCTCTCCGAGGCCCATCCCAGCAGTACCCTGGTGCACCTGGACATTAACGTAGAGGACAGCAATGACCACACCCCTCAGTTCCCCGAGGACCCCATCACAATCGTTATCTCCGAAAACATGATGCCCGGCTCTTCCGTCTATACCTTCCAGGCCACAGATAAAGACGGCAGTGGTCCGAACAGCGAGCTGACGTACTCCATTTTTCACCAGTGGCCAAACGCCCCCGGCCTGCTGACCCTCAACCCTTCCACTGGGGTTCTCTCGTTGGGCCGGGAGCTGGACCATGAAGTGACGCCTAACCTGATGCTGGTCGTAAAGGCGACAGACTCTGCCCACGACGCCAGCCAGAGGCGCTGGGGTTCTGTCACGGCGAGGGTGTATGTAACCGATGAGAACGACAATCCGCCGGTGTTCAGCTCGCCAACGGCTGTGAGCGTGATGGAAGACCAGCCGGTGGGGTTTGTGGCGCTCTATGTCATTGCCAGAGATGCAGACCAGGGGGAGAATGGCAGAGTGACCTACAGCATCCAGTCAGGCAACACCGGGGGAACATTTGGCCTCAACACTAACACGGGTAAGTCCAGCCTTGTGCCAATGCAGTGCAAATGATGATAGTTGCCAAGATCAGACATCTTAGGATCAGATCACTTGAACAAAAATGTTAGTAAACAAGATTTGGTGAATCATAGTGTTCTCTCTGGTGGTCAAGTCTGATTCTGATTCGTTTTCTAGAAGTTTTGTTTTGTAGTTAATTTGAAGGATATTACCAGAAGAAAGGTTTTGAAATCATGGATCTTTACTTATTTTTTGCTTCAGGTTTTTCATTTTCAATAATGTTATAATGATCAGCCTTTTCTATTTCTAGCAACTGTTGGGAATCACAGTGCTGAAGAATTACTATGTCTTACAAATCCCCATGTTACTTTTAAATATTTTCAGTTTAAACAGACAAGCAAATCTGCATCTGTCAACTTTTGCTTAAGTCTTTTAATGGGCTTTTTAATCAATTGTGCCACCTCGGAATTCCACACATGCAGGGCATGTGTACGTACATTTCCATGTGCTTCCACAAAGCCCACAACCGAATTACCAAACCTCCTGCTACACAAACACACACAAATTCTTGTAATACTCTTCTTAAATCTTACTGCTGCACAACTCTTGCTTCACCTTTCATGATTTATTTCTCTCAGTTGGAGGCCAGACAGACAGAGCAGCCTGCCAAATATTACACGCACACACACACACACACACACACACATACAACCTATCATCTGTTATTGTGGATCTATTCCCATGAAAGACCAAAGAACCTCCTGCTCAGGCTTCTGGGAACCATTAGAGAAGGGATCAGTTACGCGTGTTTGTGTGTACCCACGTGTTTCTGTGTGTGTCTGTGTGTGTATGTAGGTATGCACATCATGTGTTTGTGTGCTTGCATGAGGCTCTGTCACTTAGTCAACGTTGACCTTGGGCTATTTGGTCCTGTGGGCTTTGTTGTGGCGTTTGAGACACGTGTCAACGTTGGCTCCGCCTTCCCCTTCAAGTCGTCGACCGGGACGCCCTTTAGGGCAGCTCGGGGATGGAAACATTCAACGCCTGTCATGCATGCCACTTCTGCTTCAGCCCTGAATGTGCTCCCATCTTGAAGTGTTTTCGTGCACACTGATTATTTGTTAGAATACTGACGGAGTTAATCCTCTGAGTACCTGGTTTGCTCCCGTTTTGCGGTCAGCGCCTGGAGACCAGGTATCATATCTGCACTCTCTGTTTTCATTACAGTTGACCACAAAAGAGATCCGTATTAAACTATTCTTAGGGGTTTATAGTCACATTCTCATCGCTCATTGTCAGAGGGGCGATTATTCATTTCGTTGATATGGTGGATTGATTTCTTGCAAAAGACAGTACCCATCAAATGATGATAAATTATTTCTTCATATAAAAAAGAAAACCTTTTACTTTGTCTGAGAAACCTCAGCCAACCCTCACACAGCAATCCAAACGGTTGGCGCCACAAACAAGATAGGGTTAAAATGTCGGGAATAACAAATATCCGAAATAAAACTTTCTTCTGTTACCATCTTTTTTACTGTGCATGTGTTATCAGTGACCAGGGATTTGGCAGGATCAGAGGAGGAATCAAAATTGGTAAAAAATATTCCAGTTTGTAACTCCTTCCAGATTAAGGTCTTTTGGTTAAGTTATGTGAGACCTACCAACACACAAAGTAATAACAAAAAAGTTAAAACAAAAACAGCCTTCGACATCTTTCTTTAACAGTTAGGCTACAACTCATTTCAAAGTATGAAATCGAAATTGAATCAATGCAAGCGTAACCCTCCAAGGGCAGGATAATGAAAAGGCAAGGGTTTCCTAATTTCTACAGTGCACGGCATGCCTGGCCGTTGCGTGTCTAGAGCGTGTGTTTACTGCTTCTCTTTCAATGGCTGCGGCGTTCTCCAATGGAAACTCTCATAAACTGTGGCCAGACTGTTGGGCTGTTGGAGCAGTGGTGGTGGTAGCACTCAGGTGGGCGAAGCTGTGTGTTTTGGAGGAGATTAACTCTGATTCTGCCCTCACACGGCAACTTTTCACACGCTTTTTAAATCACTGCGCTACACACCATGAACAATGAATGGTGGCATGTTTTGTTGCCTGCGATGAGCATTGTTTCGTACCGTGGTCGCCGTGTGTAACTGCCCTTTGGGCCATAATGAAGCACACCCACCCAGAAACACAAACACACACACAGGAAACCTCTCCTCACATTTCAACCCCGATTCATCCGTCTACAGGCTCTCTGTCTATTTTCAAACCTTTGGACCGTGAGGAACAGGACGTCTTTAACCTCACAATAACCGCTGAGGATCATGGGACACCCCAACGCTCGTCCAGCCAGCTGCTGTGTGTCCATGTGATTGATGTTAACGATGAGGTGCCCCGGTTTGAGGAGAGCCAGTATGAAGCCCAGATCTCTGAAAACCAGCCACCAGGAACTAGTGTGTTGACGGTGTCCGCCTCTGATCTGGATCAAGGTGAGACTTGCAGCCTGCACTGACTTGGTACATTTAAATCTAAAAGGTTCTAGCTTTAATCCCGACACTAAAACTGAATGGTTGTAAAGTTAATGTTTTAGACATCTAACTCCCATGACCTTTGTTTGCATGTGATGTAGATAACTATATTTTGAATTTAAACAGGTAAAATGATGAATTATTATTATAGAAATTGATTGAAGCTTTAGCTAAATTAAGCCTGGTTTAAGCTCACAAGTTTAAATCTTTTCATCTAATTATCTAAATATGTCTGTGTGTTCTTTGTGTGTGTGTTTTTTAAATGTATTTCAAATTGTGCTGCATCATCAATCAAGATGGGGGGGAAAGGCCTTTAATTCTTTTCAGCCTTCACGTGTTGATTGTAGTCAATTTACAGACGTTAACGGTTGTTTTTAACTGAAGGCTAACTGGTGGGGGGTGGGAAAAGAAAGGGCGCATTACCTCAGACTAAGTTAGAAGCACATAAAACAGAAGACAGCAATGACTATAAACTCTCTCCAAAAGCAGTTAGTGAAGTAAACAGGTGAGGTTGCCAGCAGGCACTCTTTTAGCACGCAATCCGGCACCCAGACACCTGAGGGTTTCAAAACGCTTTGACTGCAAAACTAACTTATAGGTGTGCACACCATTAACAAGTAAAATCCCCAAAAGTCCAAATATTTATTAATTTATAGGAATTAACTTTGGTTACATTTGCTTTGTTTTTCCACGATGTTTGTTTCACTGTAGGAACCAATGGACAGGTGACATACGGGGGGATCTCAGAGGAGGGTTTCAGCATCAATCCAGGAACAGGCGTAATAACTACCTCAAAGTGGCTCGACAGGGAGCTTCGGGAGTACTACACCTTGACAGGTACTGCCTTCCAATGGATGTCCACAATCACAGATAAAACCTAAGACGACTACTTTGAGACACTAAAGATTTGAGATTAACTTTTCAAATGCCAATTTTATTCAGCCCTTTAAAGTCACCATTATTTATCCTGAATGTGTTCTTCTCTGTTTTTTTCATGTCCTACAGTTTATGCAAAAGACGAAGGCCTTCCTCCCAATTATGCCAAAGCCACAGTGAGGATCAGAGTGCTTGATAAGAATGACAACGCCCCTTTCTTTGGACGACTCTACTACAGAATAGAGGTGCCCGAAAACCTAGAAACATTACCTCTTTTTACTCTAAAAGCCACGGACAAGGATGCAGGAGATAGCGGGGTAATCTACTACAAAATTACAGGTGAATTGGCATTTTGTTTGTTGTACCGTTCAGTGTCTAAATGAGACTTCTCAACTGCTCCCATGATTTAACATTATTTTAATTCTTTTGCCACTCTACTTGCAGATGGTGATCCCTTGGGGGACTTCCTCATGGACGGACAGTTTGGTGTGTTGTCCACCTCGAGGTCTTTGGATCGAGAGAGGAGGGCCGGATACACGCTGACAGTCACGGCTCAGGATCTGGGCCAACCTCCACTCAGCAGCTCTGCTACAGTTGAGGTGACTGTTTTGGACATCAATGATCACAGCCCTCAGTTTCAGAGTAGCAGTTACACTGCTGACGTTTCGGAAGATGTTCCCATCGGCTCGCTGGTCCTAGAGGTGAAAGCTATTGATCTGGATCAAGGCCCCAACAGCCAGGTGCTGTACTTTCTGAGCAGCGGCTCCAAAAGCATGTTCATTATAGACGAGGACACAGGACGCATCATCACAGCAGCGCCCCTAGACAGAGAAAGAACTGCTTCTTACACCTTTGGCGTGTGTGCTACTGATTCCTCCCCTGCAAACCCACGTAACTCCACTGTTCAGGTGACCGTCCACATTCAGGACGTGAACGACAATGCACCCTACTTCATCCAGGACCCGCTTATTGTCAACATCTCTGCCAGCACCGTGTCCAGCCGCCGCGTGCTGGCCACCATGAGGGCAGAAGACAAGGACTTTGGTGCAAATGGCTCTGTGTTCTATCGTTTCGCCAACCCTGTGAGGGGTTTCACCATCAACTCCCTGACGGGAGACATCCAGGCCACAGAGAGGCTGCAGGCTCTGACCCAAAGCCAGAGAACTTTGATAATTCAGGCCATGGATCAGGGAAACCCCGCTCAATCCTCCTTGGGAGTGGTGATCATTTATATCAAGGAACAGAGCTACAGAGGGATTCGCTTCTCCCGCACGGCTCGAGACGTCAGTCTGCAAGAGAACGCTGCAAAAGGTTTATATGGGATACAAATATTTTTACTTGTGAATTTGGTAACGTGCAATATGGTAATGACAAGGAGAAGTAAACTTTTTAAACAAGTTTGTTTTTCCCTTTACAGGCACAGTAGTGACACAGACTGAGGCTAAGTACCCCGATGGCTCTCAAACTGGTATCAGCTACAGTTTTTTCAGTGGAAACAGAATGCAATCTTTTGGAATAAACTCCATTACGGGTGAGTGCAGGCAGGCCAGCATACCATATACAACCTTGCTTTCCAAACCTACTGTGACTCATTGTTATTTTTGTGAATTAGGTGAAATATGGGTCCAGAGATCTGAAGAACTGGACTTTGAGGAGGCCCCTAAACTCCGCCTTGTGGTGAAAGCTGAGACAGCCTCCTCCAGTTCCTACATGGCTGTCAACTTGATCCTGCAGGACATCAATGACAACTGGCCCCGCTTTGAACTCCAGAACTATGTGGCCTATATTAGAGAGGCACAGGGCTATGATTTTCCCATCATTCAGGTGCAGTAGCTTCTCCTCCACACGTCTATTATGGTTGGCTGTCTTTAGTGTAACGCTTTTGGGCTTCAGGCGTTTTTTCAGCAGTGTAGAGAAATAATGACGTTGAATTGCATATGTTGTCATTGTCCCATAATATACCAGAATAATTTGTGCCATGTGGCCAGGTCCTTGCAAGTCCTTTATTGTTCACTTGTTCATGTTACACTGCAACAGCTGCTGCAAATAACTACATATTTTCATTTCTCATAATGGGTTGGTCCTTTTCTCAGGTTTCTGCAGATGACCTGGACCAGGGACAAAATGGTCAGGTAACGTACTCCATCAGGTCATCATCCATGAGCGGCTTGTTTAAGATAGACCCACTGACCGGCAGCATCACAACTGCAGCCATAATGGACAGAGAGATCTGGACCCAAACCAAGTCAGTTTTTCTCTTTTTTGTCCTCTTTGACTGTTATTTCATCGTCCCATGTAAATTATTTTTGAAAAGTATTTACATTCATAAACTCTTCTAAGGATTATTTTGTTTATCTTGGTGGGGGGCGGGTGAATCATTACATAACCAGATTCATAAAAGTCAAAGTTCAAACACTGACATTCACTATTTGCTACCAGGCTCGTTGTTACGGCAACAGACCGGGGTACCCCGCGGCTGGCTGGCTCGGCCACTCTCACTGTGATTGTCATCGACCTCAATGACAACAGTCCCATGATTCCTCTGCATCGGGAGATCCGAGTGCCCGAGGGTAAGTCAGCTTCACAGAGGAAGTTAGTCGGGGCGAGCTTATCATAAAGCCTCGCATCACACTCCCTGGCAGCTCACTCATTGAGGCTCAGAGAGAAAAGTCTGACCCTTTGGCTATTGCCAAGTCCCTCTCTTCATTTCCTGTCTATTCGATCAAGGCTTTCAAGAACAGGATATTTCTCAATAATGACTTTTTTTTCTTTTACTTCTTTTCTTCTTTATTTCAGCTGCAACTTAAATGTTTTCTTCTCCTGCCTCTGCAATATTTTGTCTCACAGATACTCTGATGGGCACAGTTATTACCCAAGTAACGGGAAATGACGTTGACTCGGGACCGGCCCTCTCTTACACGCTACACCTCGACGCAAAAATCCAAGGCGTGTTTGGAATTCATCGTTATGGAGGAGGGTTGTCTCTGACTGGCCTTCTGGACTACGAGGACAGGACGTGGTACACTCTGACTGTCCGCTCATCTGACTCTGTGCATCAAAGCGAGGCTAACATCACTGTGCTAGTGGACGATGTGAACGATAACGCACCGACCTTTACTCAAGACTCGTATCAGGTAGTGCTGCCCGACCTGTCCTCACCAATCCACATATACCACCAGATTTTTGAGAATTATTGGTATCTTTCATGGGTATGTGCCTTTCATATGGATGGTGTGTTTCTTATTAGGTCACTGTATCAGAGCACCTCCCTGCAGGCAGTCCAGTCATCACAGTAACAGCCACTGACCGTGACTCTGGAGAGAACGGGAAGATAACCTACAGAGTGATGTCTTCAACGAGGAGCGTCTTCCACATCGACCCAAGCAACGGTACGATTACCGTGTGCATATTTATAGTTGTTCAGAACTGTCCTCTTACCAGAGCTCCGCTTAATTACCCGTCATGAAAATGTTATCCCCTAAAGCTCTTGGATGCGCATTTGGGGTTTGGACATATTTGCAACAGCCTTCGCCAACATATTTAATCAGTTCGTTCATTAAAAGTTATTCAAAGTTAAATTTAATGTTATTTGCCTCAGATGTGTTGCTGAAGATAGCATCTAAAAATAAGTATCTATAAGGGGTATTTTGCCCCAGTGTTTCTTTCATTCTCAAATGCTATTCTTTTGATTTAAATGCGGTTCCATTCAGTTATTAAAAAAAATGACAAATCAATCATGACAATGAGTAACAGATCCAACTTGGATAATGAAATAATTCAAATACGCTCGCTCTTTTTATGACCATGTTCTTTTAATGTTATAGGTACTCTGTTTGTCTACCAACAAACAGAGTTTGATTTCAAGAATCCCTACATCCTGGTGGTAATTGAGGTGCGGGACCAGGGCACTCCATCCCTTTCATCTACTGCCACTGTCCAGGTCCAAGTTTCCGACGTCAATGACAATGCCCCAATCTTCCACCAGTCAGAGTACAGAGCCACTGTGTGTGAAGATGGGCTTCCTGGATCAACTGTTCTGACCTTAGAAGCTGTGGACGCAGACCTGTCGCGGGACAACTGTGGCTTTGATTTTGCCATTGCCAGTGGAAACTCGGGTAACACCTTCCAGATTGAGAGCAGCGTGCGCTTCTTGGAAGGCTTGGGCTTCCAGACAGTCGGCAGCCTGATCCTGGTAGAGGAGCTGGACTTTGAAGCAGTGCCGAGTTATAACCTGACAGTGGTGGTGTCAGATCGAGGAATCCCTCAGCGCAGCTCCAGCGTTCCCATTCTCATCAGCGTCACGGATGCCAATGACAACCCTCCGGCCTTCGGCCGAGCAGAGTACAGCGCCGTGCTGAGTGAGGGGGCAGCGGTAGGTACGGAGCTCTTGCATCTGTCTGCCACGGATCCAGACTCCGCTCCCAATGCGGAGGTGCAGTACTCCATAAGCTCAGGGGACGAGACGGACCTGTTCCAGGTGGACCGGTGGACCGGTGCCTTGAGGCTGCAGAGGCCTGTGGACAGTGAGAGGCAGTGGGCCCATATGATTGTTGTCACAGCTACAGACGGTCATGGTCACTATGCTTTGGCCACAGTCAGTATTGAGGTGAAGGACATCAATGACAATCGGCCTTTCTTTCCCCTCAAACTGATAACAGCGAGCATCAGGGAAAACCAACCCCAGAAGGCCTTGGTCACCATGCTGCATGCAATCGACCATGACAGAGGTGTTTTTGGACAGTTGCGGTACTACATGTTAGACAGCTCTAAAGAGGGGAGAGACGCTTTCCTCATCAACCAAACATCCGGAGAATTACGGACTCGTTCTACTTTTGACTTCGAAAGGGCAAACTCCTTCCATTTTGTGGCTGTGGCTATGGATGCCGGCAACTATTCGGCTACTGTAACAGTGCAGATTTATGTCACAGGGGAGGATGAATATGATCCCGTTTTCGCTTCCTCAGAGTTGTCATTTGAAGTTCCAGAGGGAGCAAAGAAAGGTGACACCATTGGAAAATTGCAAGCCAGAGACGAAGACGGAGGCGTAGACGGCATTGTCCTTTACTCTCTAGCAGACAGTTCACCTTATTTTGAAGTGAATAAATCCACAGGAGCTCTTTCCTTGAAGATGGACAGCTACAATAGACATGTGAGTCGCTCTAAAAGGGAGGCGCGTCTAATGACACTGGAGGTGACCGCTCACAGCCCTCTGGAGACGTCCCGCCGAGCAGTGGCCAGAGTGTCCATAGATGTGACCCACACAAGTTTTGGTCTCACCACAGATTTGAATATACTGCTTGTCAGCATCATTGCAGTTTCACTCGGGACCGTAGTCATATTAATAGTAATTGCTGTTGCGCTCTTTTTCGTTAGATTAAGGCGTCAGAGAAAGGAGAGAAAGTCACACAGGAAACCTCAAGTGTCTGGCACGATGCTGCACAAGTTTGAGGAAACAAAGATTGCAGCGAGTGAGATGATTTACCATCAGGCCCTTCCGGGATACTCGGCTGATCCGAGCGGCAGCGCTGGGCCTCCGTACACCCGCGGAGGATCCTCGGATCCCTCCCACTCCAGCGGCCGCGGCTCTGCGGAGGCAGAGGCAGCAGAGGATGATGAGATCAGAATGATAAACGAATACCCTCGGGTGTCAAGCATCTCCTCCTCGATGCAGGAGCGCATCTCCGCCCGAGGTCCGGACTCGGGGATCCAGCAGGATGCAGATCAGCTGTCGGATGTGTCCTGCGAGCCTTCCATAGATTGGTTCAAAGGAAAGAAACTGGGCAGTCTGAATGGTACGTTATTAGCTGGCCAGTTGCCAGTTTACAGGGACGAGGGGTGTGGGTACGGGGGCGTGGGACGGGGACTCAGCATCTCCCACCCAAAGGATTACACTTTCCCAGAGGACGGGAAGCCTGCTGTAGACGGCTCCCTGACAGCCGTCGTGGCCAGCGACGAGGAGCTGAGGGGCAGCTACAACTGGGACTACCTGCTCAACTGGTGTCCGCAGTTTCAACCGCTGGCCAACGTCTTTACGGAAATAGCACGTTTGAAAGACGAGACGACTCCCCCTCACCCTCGCAAGTCGTTTTATCACAAAGCCAAGGCAGAGTCAAGAATCGACCCCCCTCCTCTCATAACCTCCGTGGCCCACCCTGGAGCCAAAACTGTGCCTACGAAGCCTGCTGTGGGCAGGACGTTCCCCCACTTGGCGTCTTTTCGAAGGTCTCCCCTCAGCGCAGAGGGGTCTATCTCCTCAGTCGCCATGTCTCCGAGTTTCTCTCCCTCTCTCTCGCCGCTGGCCGCACGTTCTCCCGCAATCACACCCTTCAGCGTCTCCCAGGGCCCCTCTGCGTCAATGATCAGCGCGACCGAACACAACTTAGAACACAGCGAGGAGGCAGAGCTGAGGATTTGAAACCGAGTCGTTGCTGTCCCAGACTTGTTCTACCGTACGACCACAGGGGCTGCAACCTTAGACGAGTCAAAGGTATTCTCATTATCACGAGCACAGAAGGGCACACTAACTTGTGTTACTCTCTGAAGAAAAACACGACTACATCACTAACAGGCCAAATTGGACGATGCCTTCTTTTGTGTGTGCGTTTTGGAAAAAAACATCCTCATTCTTCTGTTGATCAGTGTTATTTTGCACATTTGAAAGGAGATTCATACATGATGTCAATATTTTCTACAAAAGCATTGTCTATATTTTTATATTTACATGTGGTTTCTGACAAGAAATGGCACTTACGTGTCATAAGGTTGTTAAACCTTGGAATATATTTCTACATTTGTATATTTGTAGTTTGTACTGTATACTTGTTGTGCTGTTACTTTGTTTAATCTGTTGTAATTATTAACCTCGAGGTTTTAAATGAAGCACTTCATCAATGCTTTATCGATTGGATTTTGAAGAACATATGTTTGTAAATATTCATAGAGGAAGGGACATCCTTGCTTAAAGAAATGACACATGAGTCCAAATAGACTATTGTGTGATCCGATTTTCCATGGATCCAATGTGGGATCAATATCAATATGAAACATTGAAAATTGGTCTTACTCAACACACACTACCTTCATCTTCAGCAAAAGGACAATGTAACTTGACATCCAATGATCTTGTCCATCTGGTGCCCTGGCTTTAGTTCTCACAATGAGCCTTCCTACTCTCATTGTGCATTCTGAATATGAGGGAAGGGAAAGCATGGAGCAGCTACGTGGTTAATGCTACATTAAGCAGCAGTCTAATCATTCCAGAGAATGTACGACGGTCTTGTTCATTTATCTACTCATCAAATGTCCCTCACTCAGATAATGAAGCGATGCTACCTAAGCTCTAATTCAGTGCCATCTTGACACTGAAATGTAGGTCTCTTGTAAGCGCTCTTTTCAATAGCAGTACAAATAATACGATATGAATTTAGACTAATACTAGCAAATAGATAAATAACTTGCATACAATTATGAATGAATACAACAGCGGGTGTCGTGGACTCCGCCAGAGAATGAATTGAGAAGGAATTCATGACATGATTCAGATAATGCCTGTGCCATGAATACATTTGTGATGTTGATGATAATTATTTTTGGCAGCCTTTAAAAAATAATGTACAATAATGTGTATTTTAAGTACATTTAGAACCCCGCTGTGGCCTAAATGTGGATTCTTTTTGCTTTCAAATTATTGTGAACATACTCTGTTTGTTTAATCCCCAGGTTTAGATCCTTTTCTAACATTATTTCAGCAGGATAACATTCTATTCTACACTCTAAGTTCTATTTATTATATAGGTAGCCCCGAAAAAATGAGAGGTATGAAAAAATATTTACAGGGATTCTCTTTTGGCCGTAGCCAAATATGAACACCTATCTCATAAAAACGTACCTTGTTGTTTGTTTGTTGTTGTTTTTGCTTGTATTACCTGCAACCTTTCATATTTGTCCAAACTGTGAGTATATTAGTGCATTGAAGTTTCTTCGACTGACAAATGTTCTAGACTCCACAGAAATGTTTTTGAGCAAAAAGTGCCTGATTAAAGTACTTATGTGAACACATTGTTGTCTCTGTCACATCTCTATCGCAGCTGTTACGTGAGATTAATCCATAGATCCATTTCTGAGCCGTTTTCAGAGCTGTGAAAGTGAAAGGTGAAAGTGAAAGGTTGCACAAATAATCAATCATAATCAATATGGGATGGGAAGTGATGTGATATTTTCCAAGGCACAAGTTCTGACTAGTACAGTTAGTCTCCTCTGATCACTGCTGCTTTTTTATTTGGGCACCTTCAGAGGGATCTAAAGTATTTTATGGCATCCTAGACCTCCAAACTCTAAATACAGCTACAGTCACTTCACTGCCCTGGAACCTCGGGCTTATACCTTCTAAGAAACCCAAACCCCCTATGCTCCCAGGGGTACGGGAGTTGGACAGATGCGGGCCTCAACAGCACAGTTTAGTCGCAGTGTTTTCCCAATCCTAAGAAAATTCAAATGAAGAATATTTGGCTTAATGATAGTTATTAAGTGTTATTTGGCACTTGATTTAACTGCTTTTGCTGAAGCTTTTCCAGCACAAATGGAGACAAAACACAAGGCTTTTAAATTCCTCGTGTAACACTAACAAAGCAGACTCGCAGGTCAAATCTCACATTTATATCTATAGGCGTATGCATCTGGTGTTCTCAGAACAATTCTTAAACCACTTTTACTGCTCAGTTATTGTCCCTGTACTTATCTTTGTTTTGTTAGTTTACAAATGTCTGTATTGGTGTTTCTACTAATTGCCCTAAATTTCTATTCCCCTGATAAGAACATGCTGATACAATTGGAATGTTTTTGTATTTGACATAAAATGTTTCAAAACTTAATGTTGGCCCTGAAATGATGTAGCGGTACGACTCAAACATCAAAGAAACCAAAAGTCTTCATTAAACAGCAGACAGTTCAACAGTATAATATTCTCTCTCTTTGGTCAGTGCTCTTTCGAACTTTCTCACATGCTAGAATTAATGAATGCCAACAATATTAGTAATAGGTGTTATTTCTTAGTATCCATCCCCACTTGTCATGGGAGCTCATTGGATCGCTCTCATATTGCCCGAGGCGGGACAACAGTCCCGCTGCCTGATGAAACAGAGCTGAAACGGCGCTGTTTGGCGGCTTCAAGGAACTGCGTCTGACTGGTTGTGGGGCTGAAAACGAATCCCTGTGGTATTCTGAGCAACACACATGCACACACATACATACTCAGAGGTGAATTCATGTGTGTCGGGATTTTTTTTCCCAGCACTGGAAATATAGGAGGAGCGGACAGAATTGGAGAGCCAGTTGATGATACACTCAGCTTGAGTGTCATAGCGGACTGTAAGGTTATGAGACAAATGCCTTGACCCAAATCGAGCACCCTGGATCGGAGGCCAGTATATACACAACAGAACTCCGATGATATGAGTAAGAGGGCAAAGCCAAGTCGTTCGTACTCAAAACCTAAATTAAAGGCTGCGAGTAAACCAAATGAAATCTATAATTTCCCCGTCAACGCAAAGTGGATACACAGCAGGCTACTCTGTTAACGTGTAATCTTCAGTGCCAGTGTGCCCTTTTGCCTTTAACCTATTTGTGTCTTATGAAATTGACATATGCATTTGTTGGAAACTAGAAAAATATACTTTCTGTGCTCACTTTCGGTTGGAAAGAAAGAAGAAAAAATTTAAAACAATGTCTGCTAAAGTTCAGATGTAGCTGTGAGAGGCTAGCTCCCCTCGGACAAATTAACATTGCTGCTGTTCACATTTTCCAAATCGCTACAGCGGGGTTATTCTTTTTCATGGCTAACAGTTGCAATTGACATGAATACAAGAATAACATTCAGGCTGAAGAAGAAGTTCATTTCCCATGTAGATTTGGACAGCTCATCTGTATTCAGTGCGGGCGTTAAGCTACCTGTGCTGTTCACGCTTAAAACTGCAGTTTCATAGAGGGAGCATCCAGCCTTTGAAATCCTTAAACCTGCTGGGAGACTTAGGTCTTGTTATTCATATTAATCAGTTCCAGACTTTGATCAAAGAATATGCCAATCAACTCATTTCATGCACCGTGGAATGATTTTCCTTTGTTAGTGGTATATCTTCTGATAATTCTCTTTCTCATGCAAGCCATTGAGAGAATGAGTTATTACCGTTCCAACAGCTACATGCTGTTCACTGACTGTCATCTGTGAAGCCGTTTTTGTGTTTCACTGAATTATGTGCGAGCTGAATGCTCTCTGGCGCCGCATCGCTTGTCATGTGATTACCGCCCCACAATCAAACGTATTTGATTGTTTTAGCTTTGATTTAGGTTCTGGTTTGAGGCGTTGGTATCATTGAAGGCTGTCTGTTGGTTCAAGTCCTACAATGCCCATGTTGTTTTCGTATTAGTATGTCATTTGGACACAGTGTTAGTCTCAACCACTTATTTTTTAGTGCACCGTTGCTGTTAAATAATAAAAAAATTGGCCTTGTGTTCTTTTTTTGTGTGGCGTGCGATGGTTGAGTGTGAAAATATGAAGAGGAATGCCAAACGTTGGGTGGGATATTGCACTGCACCTCGATTGTCTGACATCATTTAAAACAGTGAATTCATATCCCTGTGTGCAATGTTGAGACAAGTTCTGGAGAAATGGAGTAGCCACAGGATGAGGTCCACAGTATCATGTGTTGAGAGAGGACCAGGAGTTTCGTGCAGTGTGCCCACCTAACGTTAGAGGCGAAACGTTACCCCTCGCTCACATGTTCCAGAGATCGTCACCAGTGGAGGACTTATGTAGCCCCGAAAGCGCAACGACTTTAACAACAGGAGGATATAATGGTTTTAACATGGCTTCTGCAGAAGAGCTTGTGGCATGGGTCCTTCACACTGTCTTATGTTCAAAAGCACTTTCTATAATAAAGCTACCAAAGTAGGCAGACTTACAAAGGTAGTTAACCGGGGAAAGATAATGTCTCTCTTTTTCATAACCTATGCCTGTGATCTCATCTTGATGACATATGCGACGGATAAAAAGATGAATACCAGCTGCAGACATCTGCCGGTAGGGAAGGGAGTCTCAGTGAGGGATGTGGGCTCATGGACATAAGGAATGGGAATCGTTGCATTCTGGTGAGAGCTGCTTTGTCTGCAGGCCCTTTGGTCGGGATCAGACTCTCTTCTGGAGAAGCCCAGGCTACCGTCCAGCTAAGAATGAGGCCAGACCAGAGAGCGGCCTCTCTGCTCATGCTTGGATTACCCATAAACCCCGTCATACCTGCAGCTTGCACGGAAGTCTTGGCCGCTTGTTCTTTCAGTCGAGAGGCAGGCTCCAGGGATGCTCCATCCGCAGCTCACCGCAATCCTTTCTCCAAACACTTTTTTTCCCCCCCCTCTGATCTTCTTGTCTCTTACGAGTTATGTTTTTTTTCCCCGGCTCTCTCTCTTCAAGGTCTTGCCAGGCTACTTGCGTGACTAGAAGGAGTGGAAAAAAAAAAAAAAGGTTTCTAAACCCATTGGCACGCGAGCCCCAAATCTATTTTTGGAGAGCCTTCTTTTTTTTCTTTGAAAACAAAAAAGCCACAGGGAGAAATAGGCAATACTGGGGTGAAGGGGGTCTGTTTCTCATTTAGCCAGGCCGGCCTCCTGTCCTTTCCCGCCAGCGTCACAACCACAGCACTATACGGAAAGAGGGTTGCTCAGACAAGGGTGGAGAAGTGTTTTTCCTGCAAAACCACGGCCAAAACTAGACCCTCATCTTAGCCGTTGTCACTTAGAAGTTGGCCCAACCTGCTTCCCATTACAAGGCCATCTGCTTATGTTTCAGGCTTAACTGCTTCTTATTTATTTTCGCCTTTTTTTTTTATTCATTAATTTGCCACGGCTAAATTACTGCATTTAAATGTGTCCACTTTTAATTAATTTCCATCAGGCATTGTGTGGTAGGCCTGCTCGAGAAGCATTTACTGCATTGCAGCCCACAGCTTAACTTCACTGTGCCTTTGTGATTTGTTGCAGTTATTATGTACAGGGGTTTGTGGAGGAGACAGACAAGGGGCTAGAAATTCAATAAATGATGTGTGAGGCGCTCATTGTTTGAATGAATGTATTCTCTGCCGTTTTACCTCAATTATAGGGTCTTATATTTACAATAGCTGGTTACAACAACACTGAATGTTTTGCATTTACCTTCAGAAAGTGTTTTATTGTCAAATTGAACCATATCTGAACCGTTACTGTGAAGCAATTTGTGTGCAAAAAAAAATCCCACCGGCACCATAAAAGCCCCCCTTAATTTATTTGACAGCGACGCAATTAACATTATGTACGCATTATTTTTCAACGGGCATATGTTACCCTCTTTGATTCTTGATGAGGATGATTGTTTATGCCAAGTTTTGGATTTTCTTTGTTCCGTTAAGAGGAAGGGAATGGGATCGTTTCAGAAAAAACTGTAATGAATTTAAATGATGATGGTGTAACTTTTTCTAAGAATTTTATAAGGGCCATTAGGTCCAAACAACTAATCTCTTGGGCAAAAGATGCAGCAGTCTGTCAGTCTGACGAGCCATGAATGAAAACGGAGGGCTCAGTGGTTGTGCAGTATAATGGCTCACAGCAGTGTGATGCTGTGCTGATGACGACGTGTTTCCCATCACTGTTTCCTTGTTGGGAAATTTCTCGTTCAGACGAACGAAAACCACTGTGCCCTCAATTGATTCTGTCAGAGCAAAATGCTATTTTCCTATTTCAATATACTGCAGAGGAGCAGAGTACACGGCTACATAGCTTGATTTATCAGATGAGACTATCAAAGCCTAGTGCCATGTCTCCTTGTCATCCACTTGAAAAGTCTCAAAGGCAAAATTATAGTTATTAGTGCATGAGCACATCCAAGAGAAATTTGTCATGCACGTACACACTCTCAAACCAAGGAACCCTACTCATTCTGCAGACCCATCTATCAGGCCGAGCTGCCAATTTCCAAAAGCCGGTATCTCCTGACCCATAACTCCTCAGCTAACAGGAGCTTTTATGCGAGCAAATGC